CTAGATGTACAGGAAAAGTGTTATCAGGTTTGACAGTTCTTGATTGAATAATCGCAAAAAAAAAAAGGGAAAATGGACCAACCACGTGTTGCCAAAATTTTTTACAGATTACAGTTGACAGTTTTTGATTGGATAATGGCAGGAAAAAAAGGGATATTTTCAAAAATGTCTAATTTCACGAGTGTCAATTGAAAAATGTCAATTTTTTAAATTCAGCATTAAACTGTCTATTATCCCTTAATAAAAAAAGGAAGTAATTTATTTTATTTTTTCAATTTGTTATGGATTTCGATAAGTAGCTTCGATGAGAAGCTACATTAAAATGATGTTATCCACATTTCAAATGTCATTCTCGATATTTGAATCTCGTTTATATTTTAAAAGTATACATATCAAATCACAATAATAAATGTTCTCGACATTTCAAACGTTGTTCTACACATTTTAAATAGCTAGAATGACATTTCATTCCGAACATGACATTTCTCTACGCTTGAAATGTAATTCTCGATGTTTCTGTATGAATGAGAAAAATAGCATTAATTGTGATTTGACATGTGCACTTTTGAAATAAATATGGTAAGTTATGTGTCAAAAAATTATTATCCAATAAAACTTTTGCAAAAATGTTCATTTCTTGTCTTTGTGTGGAATCATAAGTTCACAAGGGTATTTTGATCCAAAGTATTTCAAAATAAACGTTTTTGCAAGGATTTGTGAAAGTGGACATTTTTGCAAATGGATATCTAAAATAGACATTTCAAGTAATTTCCTAAAGGAAAAAAAAAAAACAGGGAACAATCAAGTGCTGCCTGTGCAACACCTATAGGAGATTTGACAGCAATTCCCAAGGTTCAAATTATTAAAATTCTGCAAGTACTTTAGAAATCCTTCATTAACACTTTGTATCGAGAATATTGTCCAATCTAAACCGTTTGGCCACCTAAAAGAATATGAAGAAAGGTCGGAGATTCTTCAATCTTTATCTCACAATTTCTTTGCAATGATTCGCGACCATATTTCTAATTATTATTCCAGGTCATATCTTTAATAATTCAAGTTCTTGTCGAAGTACACAGAAGTAATTTGCTAATCATTGTCTAACTCCGAAGTAAGTGAAAGTGAGACATTAGCCTAAGAATTGACCGATTTCATGTCAAGTTCAATTGTTGGCTCGACTGTTTGCTCGAATGAGGTAGTCGGTCTTGACAACCTTTCTCATATATGTTTAGTCAATTTAATCGGAGCATATTTGAGCCTTATTTTTTGTTCAAAATATATTTTGATGGAGAATATGTAGTTCAAAAGTAAAGAAAAATTTTGAGTTTACGTGTAATATTATTTTTATTAAAAAATATGTGATTTAAAATTAAAGAGATAAAAGTGCATTTTGAAGAAAAGAATCAAACAAGAGCCTCTCTCTCTCTCTCTCTCTCTCTCTCTACACATGCGCGCACGCTCGCAAATGTGAATTTTTTCTTTTTGAACATGTTGATTTGACTTAATATATATATTTTTTAATTCAATCCAAGATCAATTCATGTCTAATATAAAACTAGATGGCTAAATAAAATAAAAATAATAAAATTCATCGATACCGTATTTATTATTTAGTTATTTAGAGTTCAATTTTATCTCATAAAATTATGAAAGAATGCCTATGGGAGTATTTTTCGTTGCAAATGCAAGATATTTTTTGCATACTTATTTTTGTATAATTAACTAACGACATATCTAGTTGTAAATATATTATTATCTAATTACACTATTATGCATATAATATTTTTGGAACATGACTTGGATATATGCAAAGAGATTGACTAATGTGGAAACACATGAGACCACATGGAAAAGCCGTTTGGAGCTACGCTCTGGAATATTTTGACTTTAACGAGAACCTTAACCAAAAATTGGTCAACCTAAGTATATTCTATCAAAATTATATATAAATATAACAAGCACCATCTGTATATTTTGATTAGGGCTGGGCAAATCTCCCGAACCGAACCCGAACCGAACCGATCCGAACCCGACGGTTCTTGTCAAATTAAATACCCGAACGGGTATCTGAATTGAGAACCGACGGGTACGGTTCGGTTCTCGGTTCTAGACCAAGAACCGAAGAACCGAATAAGAACCGAATCTTTCTAATTTTTTTTTTATATTGAGTAAATCAAATTATTTTAATTTTAATTTTTTCTAAACAAATTAACAAATTAATGATTTCTAAATCCAAATTTTTGGCCCAATAATTTGTTTCATTTCTAATTTTTTAATTTTTGGCCCAATTACCCATTTTATTGTTTCATTTCTTAGCCAAACAAATCAAATCCACTAAATAACCCTAAACACCTACAATAAAGTGCATAACGTTGTCTCGACTCTCGCACTCACTCTCGCAGCCTATCTAATATTTCAAAACCTATATAATCGTCGGCCGACACTCTGACCTCCGATCGAAGCCGTGACTTTCCCCGACTGAAGCTTTGATCGTAGCGATCATTTGAACAAGATAGTTTACTAATCTCTGACATTCCAAAACTATTGAATGTATCATTAGTCGTATTTATATAACGTTGTTATAAATGTTAAAAAATTTAATTATAGTACAGAACCGAACGGAACCGAACCGATCCGAACCGAACCGAATGGAACCGAACCCGAACGGTTCCATAATTATATTTGGACCCGACGGTTCCATTTACTAGATACCCGAAAAGTTTGGTTCGGTTCGGTTCTAAAGAGAACCGAACCGAACCGACCCGCGCCCACCCCTAATTTTGATTATTCCACTAGATTTAGCAACAAAACGATCTGAATAAAAGAAATGATTTATATAGTCGATTATAGATTATACTTATGCGAATATGTACTTATAATATTCAAATATATCTACCTAACATGTGAAACAAAAATAATGTTAATTGTTTAAATATTATGCTCTTCACCTACCTGCATTTTATTCATGATTAGTATTAGCCCATTAATTAATTGATTTTGACTAAAAGATGCAATTTGGACTATTTCCGTTAGAGCAATGTTATTTGTAGTCACTTATTGTCATAGTTGTCATACATGGTATACGTATTGCAGTTAGTGATTTGATGTACTAATGTAATAGTTTTTTGTTGCCTTATGTATCAAATCACTAATCGTCACATATATGACACGTAGGACGATTGAGATTGTGAACAACTGCAAATAACATTATTTTTTCCATTATGCAATTTTGCTGAATTCATTCCTTTTTTGATTAATGAATGAAAGATGCAAGTTTAAAATTTTGTTAATCTATTATTAAACATTTAAACTAAAGAAATTAGGTTGCCTAAGTTGTGACATTGTTGTCATTTTCCTTTCTTTAGCAAAATTTTAGAAATTTTCTATACATGTTAGGTACGTCAAGCTAGACAAAACTGAACATGACAATAGATTAATTTTATCACATTTGTCTCTTCTTTAATCTTGTTCGATGATATCCAACTCAACTTATCAAGCGTCTTTTATAATCTCGTTCATGACTTTTCCATCTAAATTATAGTCCGATCCTATCTATCAATCCCACTCCAATGGATAAGATAAAATCTTGATCCATTCTTATTGAAAATGTGTAATGGTCCATACCTTACTCATATAGAGACCACATATTCTTGCATGAATTTGATAATAAAGCATGGTAGCCAAAATATGTAGATAAGATACCCTCATACCTATGTCCCTCGTTGGGCTCAAATTTTCAAATTTATTTTTTCTCAAGCTCGTTTTCAATCATATATTTATAGAATCCACAACTTTTATCAATTTATAAACCACATAATTTCATTAGCCTTTATTAAAATCTACTATAAATCTAATTTTTAGCCAAATCAAATAAGGGCATACATATAATTTGGATTTCTTGCATTGGTCGCAATCGACTTTATTCTTCAACAGTCTGAGTATGAGTATGACATTTAAAATTATGCCTTTATTAGATGTAGAAGTGGATGCTATATATGGATGAAAGCAACTGTCTTGGACTTACCTATGCTCCCTTTTATTTGATGTAGAAATAAAATTTTTATTTGTTGTATAGAAAATGACGACAAGCCTGAAATATACAAGGAGTTCTTATTTTTTGGGTAAACAAATGACGTCAAGTTTGGATTTTTCCACTTTGTCAGGCTCCATTTTACAGGGTCTTTACAGACTCTCTCACATGAGGTGGATTTCTCATCATTAAAAAAATACCTCAAAAATGCTCCCACCCCCCTGCGTTGGAAAGAAACTTCAGTGGTGGTGATGCGACTACCCTATTAGGGTGTGCCACCTCGACTGGTGGCCCACCACGCACCCTCGAGGTGTGTGGGCCACCTATCGAGATAGTGCATCGTCACTGTCGGGCGTACCACCCACAGGTGTGTGGGCCACCCGTCGAGGTGGCGTCTCGACATTAGGCGAGCGCACCATTAAAGATTTAGTCTAAGTTGTGAGGAGCCTATGAAGGGTCTATGAACCCCCACCCTGACACTGCAACAAGCTTGATCAAGTTTTCATATAATAGTCAATCTTAGGGGTTGGTGGGGGGCCTAAAGATCTAACCCTTGGACCAATTACACGTTAAAATTTGCTCAATCAGGTGACTAAGCCCCCTTAACCAATAGGCTGCTCCAAAATAAATCCAATTGTTGACCCTTTTAGCCACTTGGTTCAATTCATGTCAATAATGTTGATTTTTTCTTTTTGGGTTCATAATTGTCAAATAAAATTTCAATGCTAACATATAAAGTGTGATACTCGACTTAGACTTGTTAGATTAATATCGTCCATTCATCGGAATCATACAAATAGTGTATACTTTTTTTGTGCACTATACAGAACAATATATTTGTATATTATCATGTTTAGTACAACTCAGTCGAATATGCTGTAAAAGGGTTCAAAACAACGACCTGTAATGTACAAATAGAATGAAACTCGGTAAGTTTAAAATTATTTAAAACAGTACTACACATTGTACAAAAAGAAAAAATATAAATCCAATAGATTGCAACCATTTTCATCCTTAAAATGTACAAAACCATCACCAAATATTTTTCATACAAATTCCTTCCGTCGAAAATCGCCACTACATGGTAAAATCTGGTGGGATTTTTAATCCACCAATTACTATACTATAAAAATATGCTTCACTCTACTCCCTACTCCCTAGTAAGAATGCTGCCAATACGGCAAAAAGAAAAAAACATAGGCAATAACTCACTGAACGAATTTTATCGACAACCTCCATGGCAAAAATCGAAAACAAATGTACAATGTATAATGTATCCCTGGCGTAGCCGAACCAAAACATTAGATGCTATGAACCATGAAGGTTCCTTAACCTCAGTCGTGTAAAAACTGGAAGGCCGGATTATCAAGAAGTGCGGTCGCAGGTTTGACTTCTAAGAAATCCTTCACTTGGAGAGACTTGGAAAGGTCATCAATCGAGAACGGGATGCTGCAGTACATAAATAGAAAGGTAAAAATTCACTTTTTCGACAAGGCAAAAAATAAATAACGAGAAACAGAATGGGATTGTCACGTCATATATTCTGATGATCGTGTCGGACAATCCACTAATTGTACTAAAAGACGCTTACTCAGTGATGTAACTGTAAGAGGAGAGTTTAATGACTGAGTAACAAAACTCGTTCGGTGACTAATATGAAACTTCTCTGAAAGTTGAGTGACCAACATTTTTTTAATCGTTTACGCCGGCACTCGGTTTCCCAGTTCTTTTACTGGCAATATTTTGCAAGAACTTTATTCCCGATTTTCTATAGATCTCTATATGAAATTGTAATTTACCTTGAATTATCGTCCAACAAAAATGAACTACTCGCGGCATTGTTGGAGTCCTCTGTCATGAGCACCCTCATGCTAGATATGACCTGTTTCAGAGTTCGGCATGAATTTTCGAACAGGACTTTCACTAACAATGAACTACTAGGAATTATAGTAGAAAACGCGTAATTTGGCCACAGAATACTTACTTCTGGGGATACACTTCGAGTATTGTAGTTGTCGTCCCAATAAAGAGTACATATTCTGTACAGCTGCTGGACGCTAAGAATCTGAGAAGGCCAATAATCCCAACATGAGAAGAAGAAATAACATGTGGCACTCAACCAAGAGTATTATTCCAAAGAACCAACCAAAAGGCCATTTTTCAAGTAAACATATATAGAAAAGTTGTACCAGAGGAGTAAGTCAAATTTTATAAGTTCGTTAATATTTCGGTATAATACAGATGTGAGATTTATCCCTCAACAAGTACAACTTCCGATCGTGGTCAATTTCCACGAGAACCTTAATGCAAATGCACACACTTAGTTGGAATATTGGTTTGATGTAATTATCTTAACAAACTTCTGTTGTTGGGGTCAAGAGAGGAAGTGAGATGAAGACTTACAGGGCACAGATCATTGACAATCTCATCATATGATATTCTGTACTTTTGATGTATAACCTGCAGGTAGAATTTAACAGAACAAACTAAAGATAGTGGAAGAGTGACATAGCTAGAGATAAAAAGCATGTTTGGCTGAGCTTAAAAGGTGTACCTTAAGTAAATAAGTAACTTTTAAAATAAATATACATTAATTATTCCAGGGAAGATGGCACTTTGAAAAGGATGAACTCACCAAGAACCCAACAGATTGTCTTATATGCTTGAGTTCGTCCCAAGCCGAGCCTGCATACTGTAATCCAAGAATATTTCAAGAAAGCAATATGTGAGAAAAAGATGTAAGGAAGAAATAATTCAAAAATAAACAAGAATTACTTACCTCTTCTTTTGCTTGGCAGCACCACAATTCTAGCTCGGCTAACCCGGCTTTGACATACTCACCGTTACTAAATGTACAACATTCACGACGCAGAAGAAGACTGCACAGTCACCACGCATATTTGGATCAAATTTCTAAGCTTCCAGTGATAACAAAAGCACAGGAGGACAAAATTTCAAATAAAAAATCCCAGACCTGTTAAAGAGTTGAACGTTTATGTATGAAAATATTTGAGTAAATATCCTCTGATTAAGAACTGGAGGAACCTGGAAAATCCAACAACCATTAGCATTTTATAGCACGTAATAAGGTATACACAATCTGGCATAGATATATGAAGTCCATACAAAATTTTCTTTAAGTGTGCTGAGAAGAGAGTTGAGGCATTCAATGATTCCCTGCCAGTGATTTGTTGGAGAATCTTTTCCAAAGGATCGTCCAGTTCTTAGCACACTTCCTTTTGAATTTCTCGGTGCCTGAATTTCACCAGAGTGAACCATCCACGCAGAAATAAAAGGCTTTCATTTACACAGAATGATCGTAAATACAAAAAAATTACATGCCAAATATAAATGGCTTCCAAATCAGTGCTAACAAGTTCCATCCAGGCACAATGTAAGATGTTCGATCTAAAAAGGAATTAAATATAACAGTTTAACATGCCTGGATGCATAAAGCAAGCAATGATCCTAACTCCTTCTTCAAGTTGTCTCGAATAATTCCATAGATTTTCTCAACATATGCCGTGAGCTGCTGCTTGAAAAGCAAAGCTGGGTATTTGGCTTCAACTTGATGCACTGTTTCAAGCGCCGCTGCTGCCGCAGCAAGACTGACAGAAGAAGGGGAAGACCGAAAACCCTGCATACAATTTTCAATAATATAATCTATTACAGTTTGGTGATGAAAACTTATATGCGTACTCATGAGAAGGGGAAAAAAAGAAAGAAAACCATGAAAAGAGTTCCGCTACCATTGTCATTCTCCCAAATAGGGAGGTCGGAGGTGGTTTACGAACTGGAGTTGCACCAGGAGTGCCGGCAGCTTTCAAGCTTTTTTGAAGTAAGAACAGCAAAGTAGAGGTATTTGACAGCCAATAAGCCATGTGATCATTGCTTTCTTCATTCTGCGTTTAAGTTCCATCTTAGACATCTACAATATCTATAACAAGAGTTCCTAATGTTGCTTACTAAGCTAATTCATGATTTTCATCTAAAAGTTTAACTATCTGCTGTAACATAATAAATTCGTGAAAGGCTACCATCTGTGAAACTGAAACCAAAACATTGTTCTCCCCAAAATCATTACTAGAAAGAGAAAAATATGGAAAGAAAAACCCACTTCATAAATAAATGAGACATGCGTCAAGCAAAAATTGCAGAATTATAGAAAAAATCTCGTCAGAGGCTGAGATGGCAAAGCACTTATTTGCAACATAGTTCAAATTAACAATTTCCATGCAAACATTTGAAATTATATCGAGGCATCACTTCAAATTTCTCCCATATCACTAGAAAATCCAATAGGCATTCTGATCATGGATGGAGACAATTACAGATCTACCATATGGACAAGGATAAAATCAAGCTCCATCGCTCATAAACCCAACTCTTATTGCTTCAAAGGCTGAGAACGCCCATATCACTAGAAAATCCAATGGATGGAGACAATTACAGATCTACCATATGGACAAGGATAAAATCATGCTCCATCGCTCATAAACCCAACTATTATTGCTTCAAAGGCTGAGAACACATGATTTAACTGCTAAAATTTTTGTTTATTCTAATGTATTGCTTCCAATGTTAATCCCCCACCCCCACACATGTGCACCAAAAAATATATATATATATTAGAAGAGCAGCAAGAAGAGAAGCATATTTGGTATCAACTCTACTATATCTACACTAGGAACTCCGATGTTTAGCCTATTACATTTACAATTGAGATATATCAATTAGTTGCAAGACTCCGCCTAAGAATGAATCAGTACTGTGGACCATGTTTTAGTCTGTTGGATGGATCTTCATATGTAGCACAGGAAACATATTTGAACATAACAGCCACCAAAAATACAAATAATCTTCTTCACAATTAGCTTATGGTATACATGATATTATTACCCAAGATATGAATTTATTAAATCTTGATTTTTGGGCCGCTGTTACATCCTTTTTTTAAATAACTACCAGACCATGAATTTTGTGATTCCCTAATCCAGAAGAATAATGAGCTTGTAAAAAGTCATCCAATTACCTCGATGGCTGAACCCATCATCTGTATGAGACGATCAAATACACTTGTCTTCTCAGCTTCAAAAGATTTCCAGTGCAAAAGGCATTTGTATATGGTGAAAGCTGCAACTGGCTTGCCTTCACTAAAGCCCACGTCTTTCGTGACACAATCCACGAGTGCATCAACATCCTCCTAAACCAATTTTTACAGTTGTTTCTGTTTAGTCAACCAAGAACTTATGTCAAAACAAATGAAACAGACCACAGTTTCTCAAAACCCATACATGCCGATCAACTGGGGGTCTCTTTGGTTTGTTGTCAGGTGTCTCGTAAGATTTTTCTGGAGTATGTTGTGATTCCTGCATAAATAATAGAATTAGAGTCCAACCCATCTTACAAAATTCAAATTGGTAGTTATTAAAGATTAGTACAGTGGTTCTGATATCTTCATTGGCATGGTGGCCATTTTCCAATATCTGCATATAAGTTTCAACACAATAATGTGAGTTTTACTGATTTAGTGAAAATGCAAGAGATGGACCATCGGATTTCTGGACAAGTATTCACCTTGGTTGCTAAAGCAGAAGGATGTTCTGACACTCCTTTAGCAGGGAGCAAGGTCTGCTGCCGAAGAATTTTATTTTCAATTTCCATGTCCGAGATTTTTTCTTCAAGCCTGCAAATAGTGAAGAACAATAATTAACAAAAAATAAAATATCAAAGATGAGAATAAAAAACAGTTCTCACAAAAGATTGCAAGAAAATCCAATTTGAACATTAATAACTACTGGTAGCATAAAGGTTAGAACGGAACCTATGCATAGCAGCCTTCAACTTAACAATCCTTGACTCTGCCTCCATAGCCTGCTGTAATCTTTCCTCACTAAGTTTGTTTACCTCTTCATATTTTTTCTCTGTTTCATTTATTTTCTTTTCCAGAGAACTAATGAATGCCTGCAGTAAGTCAAAAAAATGAATACACCAACAAAACAAGCATTCGGTAACTTCATTCCTACATAGTTAAATTAACTCTTTACCAGAAAAACTCCCCAAATTTCAATCAGCTTACCTTGAGTTGTTCGTTTTCGGCATTAAGCTTCTCCGTCATTTCATGGTCCATAACTGGGATCTCCTGAATTATTGGGACTTGCGCGGCCGCACTTTTTGCAGCTTCCCTTTCTTTCATGAGCATGTCTTTGGTGTCTCTAAATTGAAGCCCAAGCTCTTGCAAAGCTGATTGCAATTTTGAATTTTCTTGCATTTTTGCTTCTTCTAGATCAGCCTTCATTAATTGAATGTAGATGCATAGACCACAAGACAAAATAAATAAATGATAAAAGATAAAAAAAAGAGCTGCCACATGGATTTGGAAGTATAATACGTTAAGAAGAATAAAAATGATTTGAAAGCTTTTCTCATGATATGCGTATCTTGTCCTATTGCTGGTAGAATATGGTGATAACTGATAAGTCTCATACTTGAACCATTTAAAAAAAGAAAAAGAAGGAAACTACAAAAGGAAACTAAATACACGTATACCCAAAGAATATTTCTTAATTTTAGCTTCAAAAGCATTGTAAATCCACTTTCATCTAACTGAATGAACCAGGTGAAAAATTTACATTTCCTAGCCTCAGTTTGAGATAAAATCACTTGAATACCACATTTACAAGAATTTTTAATCTTTCTTTTCTAAATTTCTATTTTTATTTTTAGGCTTCAGGCAGAGGTGGAAATAGGTGTTCTTGATTTGTCTTGTAAAACTTATCTTCTTTTCTTTCAGTTTCTTTCAGCATTATTGCCAATACAGGAATGTGCATTTATTATTTGCAGGATCAGAAAAATTTTCTGCTATGATGCCATTGGAAAAATTATGTTCATCTCATAGTTAAAATTAAGAACACACATAAAATCTGATGCCAAAGAAAACCAAAATCATATTACTTAAAAAACCAACATGAAAAATTGTCCCAATTTAAAGAAGAAGCTCAGAAGGTTTACTTACTCTCATTCGTTTCTCCAGCTGTAATCTCCAGGTCAGTTCTTCAACTTGCTTCTCTAATTTATTCTTGGCAGCTTGGAGAGCTCCGGTTTCTCTGGCAGCCTGCGTTCCATGAAACCAAATTTAATATCAACCACATTTCAGGATAAGTCTCTCCTTTTAGAGAGAGGAAAAGGAAGCCACTGGATTTTTAAGGTTCATAGCTGAACAATTCCATAAATCCTATATGAAGAGGTAAAAAATAGTTGAGTAGCTAATTGCTTTAACTCAAGTGCTACAAGCATTCATTGTAACTGCAAAAATATCTAGTTGTTTGAGTCAAGATGCAAACAAACTTGATGAATATATAATAATTTTGAAGCATTTCTTTCACCCTAAAACAATCTGATCATCTTGGTAATCATATACGAAGATATCACCTTAGCCCCCCAAAATTTTTAATTGATTCATTTCCAGCATCTAAGTCGGCAAGAAGAGAGCAAAATAGAATTCTTAGTTCAAATGCCTTAAAATGAATAGTCACATTAAGATGGTAATAAATACATAAATTTAAAATGTTTCAACATCATAGCAACTGGAAAATATAACTAAAGAAATATTTATCAGACAAATTCCATAAGGAGCAGAGAATTTGAAGGAAGATATCAGATACACAGATGAGATATAGAAAATTGGTGGAGGGTGTCAAGGGAAGGAGAGGAAGAAAGAGAGAGAGGGTAACCGTCTTCAGCATGCGCAGTTCTCTACGTGCAACTCTTGCCCTCCATGCGCATTGTGTGGTTATTGAAGCTTTCTTCAGCTTCATATACTCAAAATGGGCTAGGAATCTCCGACAATGACTCTGCAGTAAAAGGAGTGAGTCATCAAAATTTCCAGTTTAGCACAAGTAATATTCCTCTTAAGATATAAATATATACAAGAGATAATAAAGCATTTAGAAGAAAAAATAAAAAATAATTATGTTGCCCGGGAACCATATACCAAAAAGTAATTTATGTCTTCGGGGTTAAGTTCTTCAAAGAGCTAATTTTACCTGGATTACAATAGCTGCCCTTGTCTGCCTTCTAAAGCGAAGCAGGTCACGTGCAGCCATCCCACGCAATCCTGTCTGTATTGAAACAACAGATGAGCACAGTTCTTTGTATGCTTTCCTAGCAAGGTGCATTCTCAAGTCTCTCTGAATCTTCAGACAAGAAGCTTCTCTTCGCATGCCATCATAAACTTGCCGAGTAAGTTCTCCTGCAACATCAAAGAAAAAAACCAACAAAAAGTTCTCAATATTTGTGGGTACCTCCATCAATATGGAAACATATTGACCAACGTAAGTACCTCTGCACACAGATTGAATCCGTATTGCTGACTGACGCAACAACATGAAACTCTTTTGAGCCATGTGAGAGCGAATTTTCCTCTGAATAATGCTAGCAGATCTTCCTAACACCTCAGTCCGACGCGCATCCAGCTCTGCCAGCTGACCAGCCCTCAGAAACACTTTTGTTTTACCAATCTGAAAAAATAATAATAATAAATAAAAAATCAATGCTGCTTCACACAGTCTACAAAGGAAAAATTTGCGGATTCGGAAAGTTTAAGTAACTTCTTTTAGAGAACTACTGCAAAATGTTAGATATTAGCAATTAAGGTTAACTGATCCAACACTTCCATAGGATCATTATTACTAAGGGGGAATATATTGATAATAGAGTTTCCAGAAAGAGCTCATACTAGATACATATTCTACTGTCCAAGGAAGTAATTCATTACCTGATAACCTTCCAGTCCCACTTTCTCCAGAAGCCTCTTGCATACAGTAACCTCATCCGTACTAACATAATCAATTAAAGGGATCAAATAAGCTTCATATATGCATGGGGGAGAAGTACAAGGTAATAATGGCATACCTTCCCGCTAAAACTTCAGGAGAAAGGATGCCAAAACGGTCTACAAATTCATAGAACGGTTTTTTCGTAGGATATCCTGCACAACTTATCCTAATTGCTTCCATGACACCCTGGATGGACATGCATAACAAGCATGAACAACCCACATTCAGGAAGCTAAGCTGCTAAATTAAAAACGTGCAACCAACGAAAAAATATACTTCTTACCCCACAACGTAGTTGTTGCAGTACATTATGATTCTCAAATATAGCTGGCTTAAGAAGATTATTGGGCTTCACACAGCGAATATAATGAGGTTCAGTAGCGCTTAGAGTCTCAAGCAGAGATTGCAATTGTTGCTGCAAAAAACACTCAAATCTCAATTTACTGGGAAAAAGGCTAGGGAGGTGATAGCAAAAGAAATGAATTACAAACCTTAAACCTGGAGCCAATTGAAGAAAATTTTGATTGTTTGGAGGACTCCTCAGTTGAAGGTGGAAAAAGACCAGAAGCAAAGGAACACTTGGAAGAACACAAGAGTGCTTGATGTTCAGCGATAACATAATCCTTGTTTTTGTCCAGAAACAACTCAGTTTGATAAGTTACCTGACATATAAAACATTCAGATAATCCATTCTCTTCAATAACTCTCCTCAATATTCAGGTTCATACAGATTTTTTAATGTATAACCTAATACAGACAATAGAGAGATGATAGAAACTTACATCACCAGCATAATGAGCGAGGGTGAAGTCAGAACGAGCTAATTTGGGCTTACTGAATCGTTTATGGTTCTTGAATGTCTGGTAGAGCTTTTGAGCAAATGTTTCATGAGTTGATCGAGGAAACATGCTACAAGACATTTGCAACCATTAAATTGCTAGTCGTCAAATATTCTATTACTAAACAAGCTGAAGCACTTTAAATAGAAGTTCCTGTAACTAGGAAAAGACTGACCAAGCTTCATCCAAAAGAGCTATAATGCCACCTGGCTTCTGAGGAATTACAAAACAAAAGAAAAAATATAGATAAGAATAAATATTATTCAATAAAAAGTGGACCAGATCATAACAATTGCTAAAACACAACTTTCTGGCAAGGGATAAAATCCCATATAGGTTAAATAGAAAAGCAACCAACATATAAGGTTTAGGCTACGCCTTTAAACAAACGAGCAATTCGATCCTTCTAAAGGTAAAACGAGTGTTCGGACTACAAGATTGGCGTTCTCAAACGAGCCACTATCTTGTGAGGGCATTGTAACATATATATCTCACATCGATTATATATAAAAGTATTAATCAACATATAGGGGTTTGGTTAACTCCTCTTAACAAGGTTGACCTTTTAAAATGAATCCAAGTCTTAATAGTATCTACAATCAAAAAAATTTATAAACAATGAAACAGAAAACCCCATCTGCCTTTAGAAAGCGGGAAATTTAAAGAGACTAAGAAACTAGCCCAAAAACCATAAACAGTCTGTCATATACAAAAACTAGCCCAGAAAGTTGAGGTCATTAATAAAAACCTCAGAAAGGGAAAGATTAAAGAATGCGCACTGAAGCCGTCTCCACTTTATGTCTTGAGGCATGCACCTCGACAAATGGCACTCAAAGCATAAGGTTCTAGGTTCTTAATGAAAGCTTCAGCGAGGCATGCCTTAAGGCATAAGCCTCAAGTGCTTTTTAAAACAATGGACAGAATAAGACAATGGACTATTTTTCTTCAATGAGTTTAGAACAAAAAATGAATGTACAGATACTCAGTTATTAAAGAGGAAAACAGATTAACTATTGGATAAAATAACTTCCAAGAAAATTGAAAGCACAAATGGTACAACCTTTTCAATGAGATCCAGAACATCTTGATTATCAATGAACTCAATGTAGCTCCAGTTAATTTCTTCTTTTGTATACTCTTCTTGCTCCATTTTAAAAACGTGCTGGCATATAAGTTAATAGGCATCACAAAACTTTAGCATAATGACAAGTTCTGAAAATATTTATGAAGGAAGAATAAAGAATCTATAAGAAACCTGATTAAAATGCTGCTGAAGCTTCTCATTGGTCAAGTTTATGCAAAATTGCTCAAAACTGTAGAAATGTGCAACATTAAGTATTCAGAGTGATTACCATAAGCAAAATAGTTGGAAATAATCGCCTCCATGACAGAAGGAAAAGTTAAGCCATAAATTTGAATTAAATTGTTCATCATTTATAAATTCGTGAAAAGAAAGCCGAAAAGTTTGCACGTCAAAAGTATTGATAAGTTTGTATTTCAGAAGTCAAGAAGGATGCTCATAATTTTAGATCTTCAAGTCCTATAACAAATATAACAAGGTGTTGGTGCTGGATCAAACTAATAATGAATGACATATTTTTCCAACAAGCAACAACAAAAAGTATTAGCATCATAAACTTTAGACAAGCATGAAATTGTACTTCATCCTTGTATAAACATGAGAGGAGCAATTTGTCATTTTACAGACAAGGCACCATGCATTTGCCAAGTGTTGACTCCCCATCTGCCACACACTCGCTTTCCTCCTTTTCTCTCCGAGCAATCCAAAATGATAAAAAGAAAACGTAGAGTGAATGTAACCAAACAGAAGTAATGAAAAGATTATCTTGTCTCTTTCTCTATATCACAAACATTGAAGATTGCCAAAGCCTATATGTGAACGAATTAACAGGATACAAGGACATAAATAATATTCAACTTATATTTAATTATTTAAGCAACTGAGTAAAACAGACCAGATCATGTCAACAATGAAGACAAAGCATACCAGTTAAGCACCTGTTAGTCTTGAAACTCTCAAATCCATAAATATCCAGCACCCCGATTAAACATTTTGAATTAGGGTCTTGACCAATTGAACTATTAATCTTATCCACAAGCCTGCAGATAAGCAATAACTATGAAAATTAAAAAGTTAAATATTCAACTTATATTTAATTATTTAAGCAACTGAGTAAAACAGACCAGATCATGTCAACAATGAAGACAAAGCATACCAGTTGAGCACCTGTTAGTCTTGAAACTCTCAAATCCATAAATATCCAGCACCCCGATTAAACATTTTGAATTAGGGTCTTGACCAATTGAACTATTAATCTTATCCACAAGCCTGCAGATAAGCAATAACTATGAAAATTAAAAAAATCATGATAAAATACTGTATGTTGGATCACAAATGTGCATCAACTAAAGAACATCTCCTTCAAGCATAAAAATGAAGCTTACCAGTCAAACAACCTTGAGTAGACAATTTTGGCCAAAGCATCTCTGCTTCCAGCCGCTGCTTCTGGATCTAAACATTTGGTGATGGTTTCATCACGAGTGACAATTACACGTTTGCAGAGGGCATCCTCTAAAGCCTTTACATCACACCTACAAAATGCTGACCTTTTAAAAGCTGAATCTTCCTAATCTTAGCAGGCAGTAAGAATAAAAAATTAGCAACTACTCTTGTCAGGTTAAGTATGGATGGACTTGCAAAATCTAATTACATGAACAGCTCTGCTGCAGTTCTTAAATGAAACCAAGATGTTTCATCTTTAGGCATGGATGAATCTATTTCCTTCCCCTTTGTAAATTCAATGTTTCCAAGATGGAGGATTGCAGCAATAACTCGAAATATTGCATCCTGATAGACAACAGATGAAATAGATTTAGCGAGAAAACACTCTTGCATGTAAAACAATTGTCTTTTATACCTGTTCCTCTGAACTTATTCCCACGGTATCCATTGCTTTTTTTGTTTCTATATACTCTCTGGATTCATCAAACCTGTCTAACTCGTAGCAATTTGATTGATTTAAATAATGGAATGTTCTTGGATTGCCCAACTTAAATTTTTTAATATCCTGAAAGTAAAAAGCAAAATAAAATGAGATTAATCAGGAATTAAGTTGTAAACATAAGAGGGTGCATAAATAAAGATTTTTCAAAATAAATTGACAAGAAATTAAAGAAATGTGATGACTTGGGTGAGGGAAGTGTTGACCTAATACTTGGACATGATACCAAGTAGACATCAACGGAGAAACTCATAATTCAATCCCATGGAGCAGTACAAACAACAGGGATACAATATATGTTTAAGACTAAAAAATGAGAACGGCGTGAACGTCTTTATAATTCGATTAGCAGTCAATCTGCTATATTGAGCAGTAGCAACAGAGAGAATTCAGAAGGAATCTTGACTCATAATTCAATCCCATGGAGCAGTACAAACAACAGGGATACAATATATGTTTAAGACTAAAAAATGAGAACGGCGTGAACGTCTTTATAATTCGATTAGCAGTCAATCTGCTATATAGAGCAGTAGCAACAGAGAGAATTCAGAAGGAATCTGGGGTTACTGCAGGGATGGTAGATGTGAGTAAATAAAGAAGACAAAGCAATCTTCATCAACAAGTTTTGCAACCAAGCAATAAAAACTTTGATGTGGGAAACTGCCTTGAGATATATAATTGGCATGTTAATGCATTGCTTAATATCAATCACTGATTAGATAGAATAGAAAATTAACGGAAATTCTATTACTTCTAGAGATTAAGAATAATGCGTGTAGAATGTAATAGAAAACCAGTTTCTCATTCCCTTTTATGACAAATCAACTAAAAAATTCATCATATCAAGGAAATTCAGCTTTCTGAGAGGAGATGATCAACAAGAACAACCTAAGTTTTATTCCAAATAAAGGGTCTGCTACATGAGTACTTAATCACTACATCTATTCAAACATCAAATGCAATAGATCCTTCCCAATATCAAGGGACCTAGTTAATTTTGATCTATTCAAACATCAAATGCAATAGATCCTTCCCAATCTCAAGGGACCTAGTTAATTTTGGTCTACCTCACCCTCTTAGAATGTGTCCTACTAGGATCTCATCTCTAGTGAATGGGAGCATCTACGTGAGAAGATCGAATGTGAAAATTCAGTAAAAGGATAAAGATAGAAAATGGAATGGAAACCAATCACCTCAGGTGGTGCAGCACAGAGCATGTAGAAACAATGGTAGTTTCTCTCAGGATCAGACACTTGACAAACACGAGATCTCTCAAGCAAATAAGTTCTGATAGCAGCCCCAGAAATCCTACCCCTTTGATCAAATTGAAGCTCAACGAACTTGCCAAAACGGCTGCAATTGTTTTGGCACGTAAATATTAGTTGATGGAATATAACAAAATGAATTTATAAGATAATGGTTGCAACAAATCCTATATCATACTGCAAATGCTGAATTTCCATACCTTGAATTATTATTCCTCACAGTTTTTGCATTACCAAACGCTTCCAGAACAGGATTTGACTACAATGACAGAACACGTAACATAATATGTGAACTGAAGGTAAGATACTCGAATTACCAGAATAATGCTTCTAATCTATGCTCGTGCACCAACTAAAAAGCAAAATTTATTACCTCAAGAACTTTTTGTTCCACGGTCCTTCCTTCAGTTGCAGATCGTCCACCCATGTAAGCAAGATAACGCATGAGCAATTTTGTGCTTTCAGTTTTACCGGCCCCACTCTCGCCACTAACCAAAATAGATTGACTTATTCCTTCATTCATCATGAGTCTGTGGCCACAAAACGATCCCTTAATTAGCTGTGTAATATGCATAAACACAAACAGTCAACCTAAAGTAAATACATGCCTATATGCAGCATCTGCAACAGCAAATGGGTGTGGACTTAGCTCACCAAAGCCAGCTCCTTTATATTGCGCCATCATATGGCTATCATATAGATGAGGCAATTTTTGAAAGGGGTTCACAGCTATTAATATATTTCCTGTATATGTCTGCAAACACATCCAAGTCAAAGAGTTTATAAAATTATCTAGGTTATTCCATGAGAGAAGAATGAGAAGGAAAATTTCCTTGAAAATATATAAGATATTGTGAAACTTACATAAATTTCATTGATATCATATCTAGATTTTAAATTGTGTAGAGCTCCAGGTTCATGCAAATATGCCAACTTTGTCATGTCATCCACCCCACATGGTGGGGCTTCGGCATCTTTGGGATAGACATTGGATGACTTAACAACAACCTGTAGAAAATCTTAGTAGAAATATTAGAAGGGTCCTAAATTCATTCAACCATTAAGGGCTACGTTTAATTAAAAGGACAATAAAACTAAAAGAACATATCATGGGAATAACTAATGCAAAGAGACATTTTCCATGTCTCTCTCTCACAATTACAATAAAATGAATTCGAAGATTTCTACAAGAGAAATAGAAAATGGAAGGTAAAAAAAGTATTAAGTATTTAACTTCCGATGACAACTTACCGTCTTCCCTGATGTAGAAAGGACCTTGATGTCTTCACCATTGACCGCCACAACCTCCCCATCAATCCAGGCTTCATCAGCATCCTCCACCCAAACAAGAGACCCAACCCCTACACTGACTGAAGCAACCTACAAAATTCCAGTGACCAGTATTCAATATGGAGTAATGAAGAGCAATTTCCAGAATGGCAAGGATAGAATAAAATGATACAGTAAGTCCAGGGAAGTCCAGACTACAAGTTGCCAGTTACATTATTTGCAGATTTAAAATCACCCATTGACTATTAACCGGGCTATAAAAATTATATAGTTTATTTGGCACAACTTATGAAAATCATTTTTTCTCAAACTCATTTTCAACCACATATTTTCCAATTTTGTACATGGACCCATAATTTTTTCCCTACGTTTTAACTGCGTATTCTCCAAAAATATCATTTTTTAATTCACTTAGCCCCTGTTTGACCCCCATTAAATCTCATCAAATTAATTTAAATTTTTCTCTCCCCTTTTTTTCACCCACACAATCTTTAGGAAGACATGCTAGTTTGAAATCTATGCACATGCATAAGTTTTCTTTATAATTAGCATGGCTACCAATGCTTCAGTCCGGGGCAATTTTGCCAGAGATCACAAGAAAGCAATTTTTCATAGAATAAAGAATCAAAGAACACTAAGAGAGAAAACAATGATAAATTTATTTTTTTTCCTTCGTGCGTAAAATTTTTATAAATTAACCATATACATATTCAATTTCAGTTGGATGCTGATCCTCACCACTACCAATAGGGAGAAAAAGTTCCCCGAGTCTCAAATTGAGGGGATGACACCGAAACTTATAGAATTTTTAAACTAGCACCAATGCTAAGAAAATCTTTCCACAATCAACCATAAAATTGTGAGCAATTATTCATATATCAGTTATAAATGTTAAATCACTTCATCTAAAATTTAAGCATTAGATCAAGCCAAAAGTATATCATTCAGATACTATCTTCAACACTAAATGACATGAAAAGTTGACTTCGGGCAATCATCCGACAAATTCAGTAATTACTGCATTCTAGTACATTGTCTGCTCTTCAAGTAAATTGAAGTCAAACCTTTTAGTTGCAACTTAAAACCAGGGATCCACCCCTCCATTTCCCCATCCCCACCCACACCCAAAAGGCCACCAGACAGAAATTACTTCATAAAATTCATATACCACGACTATTAACGTTCGAAATAAACGATTATAAGTTAATATTGGTAGTAAAAGAAATACACATTCACGTTAATTCATAAAGAAATCCATCATCGTTTAAAACAATGAAAAAGAATAAATCTTTATTGAATTAACCACAGATCAACGTATCTCAAGCTATCAAATATGAAGATTAAGCATCAACAGAAAAAAGTTAAATAGAAATTCTATACCATTTTCAAAATAACTTCAAACGGATCAGAATCTCCAGTGCTTAATTAATCAGCCATCAAATCCTCAAGAAACCAACAATGTTCACAAGTAGTGGATCAAACCAACACTGCCTCCTCCACTTAAAGAATGAAAAAATTCACTTCAAATTGATTACTTCTACAAACAATAGATCTCCCACTTGTTATTTACAGTACTTGATTTTCTTGAAATGTTCTGATCGAAAATAGAACAAATAAAGATCTGACAACAGAATGAGCTTTGTACATTCACCGCTCCAAATAAAAAAATAATAATTATAATAAAATGGGAAAAGAAACGTATTTAAAGAAGAAAAAATTAGAATATGAGAGAGAGAGAGAGAGAGAGAGAGAGACTTACGACTCTCCCACGTTGTTTGGGATTTGTCTGACGCCAGATGAATAATATTAGGTAATTACTAATTAAATTTAAGAACAATTAAAAAGTTGATTAAGTTGTTGAAATTCCATTAATGCCCCTCTGGTACGCAAACTTCGGAATTTAAGAATTCCAACGGGGCCCACATTTTTAAATACTAACCAAGGTGTAGTTAATGTTGTTTTACACTCACATGCTATCTGCTTACCTTAGGGCAACTCCAACCCTTGCACCATTGCATCAAATTGCACCAAAATTTGGTGCAAACTTCCTCCAACCATTGCACCATTGCACCAAATTTTGGTGCAAAAAATGGTGTAATGAATAGTATTGCACCAAATATGGTGCAACACTATTCATGTTGCACCATTTTGCACCAAATGGTGCAATGTCCATTTTACCCTTATTTTTCTTTTTTTAAAGATAATGGTTAAGGACATTTGTGTCATTTTCATTCTATAATAATAATGATAATGATAATGATGATAATAATAATAATTACTTAATTAATTACACTATTAATTATATTATTAAAGTTTATTATTTTTAATAATATAATCAATAATAATTAACGTAATTGTTAATTTAACGAAAAGTTAAATTCGTAAAGTTTACGTTTAAAATTAAATTTAATGTAAAGTTTATATTATTAAAGTTTATTATTTTTGTAAATTTAACGTAATTGTTTATCATAAATTAATAATATAATCAATTATTTTTGTCAATTTAACATAATATATATGACATGTGAAGTTTTAATTTAATGAAGTTATGATTTAGTAATATATATAGTTATAAAATAAATAAATAAATAAATAATATTTTAAAATAAATATATTGTTAAAAATCAAAAGAATGAATAAAATAATAAATCACTGTTCATTTGGTGTAAATTTTGGTGAAATGGTTGGAGAAGAATTTTGGTTTGGTGCAAGATTTAGTGCAAAATTTGGTGCAAAATGGTGCAAAATTTGGTGCTGGGTTGGAGATGGCCTTATTATTTCATTGATGAAAAATAAAAATAACGAAAAAGTTAAAAGAAAAAATATTCTCCATAGAGATATACTTGCATTCATTTCCACACAAATTGAAAATATATATTTAATATAGTTGAAAATATAAATTTTACTGACATATTTTCCTAATACATTCTTACGTTAAATAATAGTATAATATAAGCAGTTCATATTTATTTATGGAATAATGTTATCTAGCACTAGTTTATATGATATTATGTAATGATTTAATAAATGTGAAATTATGTGATTCATTTAATTGTACTTTTCTTTTAGTAACACTTAATTTCACCAATAAGGCACGTAAAATAGAAGCATATTAAAAAATTATGAAAAATTAATTATACTCTCAATAAGAAAATTGACATATAATTTAGGACAAATAAAGAAGGAATATTATTCTATCTTTTATGGGACAGGGAAAGTATATTCCATAGAGTTATCTGCAAGTATCTATTAGAGGGTGTTTGAGCCTCATTTTTATGAAAAAATGTATTTTAGAATAGTAGATTAAAAGAGAATGTGTGATTGAAAAATAAAAAAAAACAAATTTGATTTACATAAAATATTATTTTAATGAAAAATTTGTGATTGAAAATAAGAGAGTGAAAAATAGATTTTCAAAAAAATGGAAATCAAACAGGGCTTAATATGACACATCTTTTAAAGAATATCATTTCAAATTGGATTGTCTAGTTCCAACTCCACAATGTCTCAATTTTATGAAAGGAAAAGAAATATCTTGAAGAGAGCAAATTATTGCATATAAAATGTTTAATGCATAGAGTAGTACCAAATAGTCAAGAAATTATCGAGAACAAAGGAAATAGAAATGTCCACATAAAATCAATTGATTTGTCACACACGGTAGAGTAAAAGATTCGTCAGGTGTGAAATTTCATTGTCTGTGCAATGGACAAGAAAATATTAATCTCACAAACATGAAAATTTAAAAAAAAATTAAATTTAAAAATAAAAATAAACAAATAAAAGTCTTTGAACTCGATTTCTCTCGACACTGCAGACCTTATCTCTTTATAGACATCTTGATGGATTAAAACAAAAGTGTGAAGTAAGTCATAAACTCAATCGGGACCAGGAGTGAATGTATGGGGGACTGGATGAGGCTACGGATTGGTCTAATCCTCAGCCTCTTTCATTTTCTATGCGTAAAAATATTATCATGTATTTTTTTTTTCCTTACGTATTAGCTCAGTTTGAAGTTTTTTTTAGCTTGATCCTAAATTCGCACCTGAATCGGGATGGTCCAACCCCGACGAATGGCGTGCATCCTGAAATGCTTCCAAGTGGGCTCAACAAGGGCACGGAGTGCCCACCGTTGGCAATTTTGGCATTCCATTTCCAGAAAAGGGTAATAATAGAAATTAACATGAGAAAAGAAAAAGGCAAAAAAACAGTGGCATTATAGCGTGATGGAGCGTGAAATAGATGCGCGTGGACATAAAAGTTGTATGGGGTACACATAGGTGCACGTTGTACGCGTCCAAATAATAAGATTTGAAGCATTTGAGGACGTGCGAAGACAACGCATTAACAATATCGGTGAGAGCGATTTTTCTAAATCACCGCCATATCAAACGGGATTTCGTGTAATATTCCCTAATTCTATTAATGCAAATGCCTCTAATCAAATAGGACTCGTTTAATAGGAATTTTTGAAAGTTAAAAATTATTTTTAAAGATTAAGAAGTTATTTTTGAATAAATTATTTTTTAATATGTTTGTATAATTTTTTGAAAGTATGGTCAAATTAAAAGAGCTCTATTTCAATAAGAAAATCTCTCATATAAAAAATTGTGTTTACTTTATATAAGATTGATGTATTTCCCTTCAATTTTAAGTTATACGATGATATTTTTTGCGTTATAATAACAGCAATCTAGTGCTCATGCATTTTAGAATGTTGCAAATTATTTTTAATGGGTTATATATAATTTCAAGATATTTTTTAGGTTACATTATTTATGGTGCTCGAATATCGATGGTCTTGCACTGAGCACATGCCCATACGAGGATATTCTAGGTGGAAAAAGCTCTCTTGTCAGAATTTTTTTACCCACTTGGTCGACACTCACTCACAAGCGCGGACCTCGCTTGAATAAAAAATGCAAAATAAAAGTGGGACCCACCCCCTAGTTGTGAGTATCGATCAGTTCAAACCCTCCCTGTTATAGTAGCATGGTTGTATTCTAGGTTAGGGTAGTCATATTATACAATTAAAAATTGAGTTATTTTGATATGACTGTCATAAAGCTGACACGATATTCTTAAATTTTGACAGTAAAATAATAGAACTGTCGTGATGACAATACTACATTGAATAATTATACTTAAAGTAATATTTCACACCGAAAAGTCCATGATAACATCAAAGTGTTAGTGGAAAACATTATAGTAGGTTGATATTAGAAATTAAGCATTAATCATGGCTGAGAAGTTTGGTAGCTTGAAATTGAGATTTGAGACAAAGTTAAGTTATGATTTTAATTTTTAATAATTTCGAATTAATTATCTGAGGCCCACTTGATTGTTTTGGTTATTCAAGTCCGGCCCTAATTGGACAGTCTTATCATATGGCCTAATTAAGGCCCAAGTCTAAGAATTGAACATATTTATAGGGTATTAAATAATTACAAAATAAACTCAAAGAGTAAAATACAAAAAAGAGAGGGTAAATGAATAGCTACTAATTCAATCAAACAATGAAGAACCAAATATTAATTGACTGCATATACACTTGATTATCCAACTTACAACTTGTCTGTATGTTAATGAATTTTGATTAACAAAATTAGAAGCCATTGTCCCCCACTCAAGGAAATCGAAATCGAAATCGAAATCGAGTAAATTTCGAAGGATTACACGGAGAAAACCAATTTTCTCAATAACAACGGCCCTTCAGTACTGTACACCTTAAACACACTAAAAAGAAGCTTCAAACCCGGTACCATCATTCCAAGCACGTCTTGAGAGGAGCCCACCGTGTTCGCTCATACTCCCCTGTAATCTGTAAAAAGCTCGGTTACTCCTGACTGTCCTCAGAGGACCTGATCTATTACCGTGCCTTATTGGCAATGCAACTCCACCCTCGACTGAAGCTGGATATTGTCTTCTGCTTTCCAACACTTCAAGATGATCCGAACTGTACTCCATAGTTATGAAAGACGAGGCATGTCCATAAGTCAACCGTGGGGTAATCCCACCCGCATTCCACCAACTGCTATCAGAAGGCACAGAATCACCTTTGTAGTCTGAATCACGAGCTGAAGACTCCTTACGACTACAAGCATCCCCACAAGTCTCGCCTGCGTCATCATTATAGATGAGTTTGAGTGCCTGAACTACTTCTCCCATGAATGGTCGATGAGTCACCTCGGGATGAACACACATGGAAGCAATGGCAGCCACCTTTGCCATGTCATCGAAATCATAGTTCCCAGACAAGGAGGGATCCACCAATTGCTCCAAACCTTCTCTGCTTGTCAGTAGAGATCGTGCCCATGTCACAAGGTTTTCTTGTCCATGAGGTTGAGTCATATCCACAGGCTTCCTTCCTGAGAGAAGCTCTAATAGCACAACCCCATAACTGTAAACATCACTTTTGACAAGTAAATGCCCTGTCATTGCATACTCAGGAGCAACATACCTGCAACCAAGGTTTAAAGGCAAATGTTAGAAAATGCGACACAAATCTTGCATATGATCTTGACCTGGTAAAGTAATGCAAATTTCACATTACCACCAACAGAAAAAAGGGAGAATTGATCACCGCCCTGTTAAGTTATAGTCATTCATAAGGTCAACTAAATCACGTTCCTTAAGTTATTACAATAAAATTAACCAGTCAAAGCATGCAACTTATATTCATTGTTTCACCATGCCAGAGAGAAGTTTAATAGTATAGTTCGGTTTCCACAAAAAGGATTCCCGGTAAGATACAGTTTACTTTTTTTGCAGCAAAGAAACATACCCAAAAGTTCCCATCACACGAGTAGATATATGATGACTTCCTTCTGTTGCTTCCCTTGCCAAACCAAAATCAGAAACCTTCGGAGTAAAATCATCTTCTAGTAGAACATTACTGGCTTTGAAGTCTCGATGAATAACACGAGGATTAGAATCTTCATGAAGGTAAGCCAGTCCTCTCGCTGCACCAAGAGCAATCTTCAACCGTGCATCCCAATCAAGAGGTGCCTTGCTCTTGTCAGCACCTGAAACGTCAGCCACTGGACCGAGTCAAAATTTCAGGCCAAATTAGTTCATCCCTTCTTAAACAAAAGGTATTTCTGCTTAGTTAGTGTAAGAGACAAATATTACTGGCAAGGAACACACACGTCCCATTATGACTCACTCCCATCCCCCCACCAGGGGAGTTGCTGCTGGAGTGGAAGCATTGAATTAGATTAAGCAAATCAAAAGAAAAGAAAAGTATACCGTGTAAGTGGGACTCAACACTGCCATTTGGAACAACCTCATAGACCAAGCAGCGTGTACGTTCTTCAATGCATATACCAATTAATTTCACGAGGTTGCGATGGTGCAATCGGCTTAGCATCTCAACCTCAGCAATAAATTCACGGTCTCCATTCTGATTGTCCCTTGTCAGTAACTTCACAGCTACTTTAGTTGCATCTTCCATGATCCCAAGATAAACACGTCCAAATCCTCCTTCACCTAAAATCCTTTTTGAACTGAATTTGTCAGTGGCTTTCTCCAGTTCTGTAAGTCTAAATGTTTTGACAGAAAGAACAGATGCAGGCATGGCAGAAACAAGAGACGCAGATGTTGAACTGGCTGGGCTACTTGACTGCATAGAGCCAAGTCCTGCAACTTAAAAGAAAATTCAAATGCATTTAAAATCTCCAACAGCTTTAGACAGTTGATATGTTTGAAGAAATATATAGCCATCAATGCTAAAATAAGTAATGACATCTCATATCGGATGAGAAATCAATGCCAAGTCAACCAGATATTAACACAAGGCATATAAATAAAAAATTTTAAATTTAAAAAAAAAAAAAAAAAAAAAAGAGTAGGAGCCAGAAATAATAAAATTTGTTTATATTTCAAACATTACAACAGCTGATCATCATGGCTTTATCCTGTGCTTTCGTGAGGAGGTTAATTTACTTTTGACAAACTACAAATATTGACGTTTACGCAGGCCAAACAAATAAAATAAGGAAGACAAGATTTCTCCTCTATGAGAACAATCACAACAACAGCAACTTATAGTTTTATAATTGTACTCACTGCACAAGCAGATAAATAAAATGACCAATAGGACATCTTTCAGATGTGTCTGGACGCACAATAAACCTACAACCATCCCGAAATCCATCTCAGCCTTGCTTGATAATATAAAGAATTTTTTGTATCAGCAATTCCACAGACAGACAGTGGTTATAAGACTTTAGCAGAAGTGAAAGAAAAATAAAATTGTTTCATTTGCCACTCAGTCTCTGCACATCAGTTGAAAAATGTGTCCACATTCACTTTAGACAGTGCTAATGCAAATATGGATTACATGCTTACCAGATCTTTTGTTTATAGATGATGTAAATACTGGATCAACAGCGTTGGACGGTCTACCAGCTTTTCTGAACTTCAACAGTAAAGTAACTGTGGTACAACAAACTACCAAGAGTACAAATGTTGACAAAGCAATGACAAAAATTACTCGAGGGCTCATTTTCTGATTTTTGTCAACTAAATCTGCAGTAATAGGGTATTGCTGATTTCCGGCACTTCCACTTGGACCATCACCGGATAAAATGCCAGATGGTGGTGAAGAAGGGAGACCTGTACTAATTTTTTAGTCTCTAAAATAAAAAATTGAAGTGATAAAGCATAGACATAACAACTCAGGATTTTACCTGGATAAATGACGTATAATACTTCATAATCACCAAAAAGGGTCCTATTTAGTGGTATCTTCTTATGCAAAAATCTTTGGTAAGTCAACATAGCAGTTGTATTATCAAACTTATCCCCCAGCGGCACCAAATTAATATCAACCACTGTTCTTCCCTGATCACGAATATCAGCAGTAGCACCAATTATCATCACTTGACTTTGCATTAGGTAGGTGCCTGCTGCAACCTCAATCGCTAACTCATTGACCTCTGAGAAGATAAGGTATGGTGATACACCCAGCAAAAGTTTGACTTTCATTGGAAGTAGACAAGCACAGGGTGAGCCAATTGGAGCTGAAGTAAATGGCTCCGAACAAGTTTGACCACAACCTGTCAGATTACATATAAAAATACTTCTCAATATATAATCTAAAAAGGGAGTAAAAACAATGGCTGTAAACAAAAGAAAGGAAATTTTAGTAGATTTGCGGATTAGGCATGCTGGTTGATGATCTGAAGGAGGCGACTACAGCCTAAATATGCAATCCTACGAAAAAGGTCATTTATGCTTATGAAGACCAATAGAACCTGAACTCATTGCATAATCCATTTGGAGGTCATGAAAAATAGGAGTACCTTAGGAGATCAAGGCTTTGCTGAGTTGAGTCTTATGTTGGCCAAAACAACTTTAAGACTAATGGAGAGCATCAGCGACATAACTACATAACAAGGACAAGGCCCCTTGGATCCTCAGTTTCAAGTAGGCCAAATATATACATGATACTGTGAAGGTTGCACACTATTCAAGATTTACAAGAACTTTACTTGTAGAACATAATTTTCAATTCATTTTTTATCAGAATACAAAATACTTAACTCTAGCACACCTCTAAATCCAAATTCTAATGTAAAAGAAAATCCCCTTCTGAAGCCAACTCTTTGCTGACATGATCGTTCAGGGTTCTTACTATTGAGTTTCTTTTATATCATTTTCACATGTCAATACTCACCTCTAGCACACTTCAAAATTCACATTCTAATGCTAAAAGAAAACCCCGTTTTGCAGCCAACTCTTTGCTGGCATGATTGTTCAAGGCTTTCTGACTTGTTTCTTTTTTATCATTTTTACACTTCAACAAATCCAGAAGCATTATATCATTCTTTTGATCCCCTTTTATCTGTCAACCTTAAGGAACTAAACAGATGCCACTGCAGAAGAAGACTTAAAAGCAATCTAAGAGGACCAACTGTTTACCAATATTCTAATAGCAAGATTACTTTATTCTATGAAACTAGAATGCTATGTGACTAGTGTCCGAAAAATGAAGGGAGACGTCATGCAGCTTTTAGAGCTCAAGCTCGAGCTTGAAAATCGTGGGAGACTCGCCCCGATAGAGGAGTTGGTCGAGGTCGAGCTCAAGCTCAAGCCTGGTAGGAAGGTGACAGTAGGACGTGACCTTGATTCAACCATCATGGCTAAACATAAGTTGTCACTCCCAAAACCAAGACGTATTCGCTTGGACAGTTGAAGACATGCCGGGAATTGATCCCGAGGTTGCAGTACACAGGCTCAATGTAAACCCAGGAGCCAAACCTGTTAAACAAAGGAAAAGACAGTTTGCACCGGAACGGCGCGAAGTCATACGAGAAGAGATTGCCAAGCTCCTTAATGCACAATTCATCCGAGAAGTGCAATATCCTGACTGGTTTGCCAATGTAGTCCTCGTGAAAAAGGCCAATGGAAAGTGGCGATTTTTCATTGACTTTTCTAATTTGAACAAAGCATGTCCGAAGGATAGCTATCCCCTACCCCGGATTGACAGCACTTCAGGTCACAAATTGTATAGCTTTTGGATGCATTCTCAGGGTGCCATCAAAAACCAATGGCCATAGAAGATCAAGAGAAGACCTTATTCATGGCCGATTCAGCCATCTATTGTCCTCGTGAAAAAGGCCAATGGAAAGTGGCGATTTTTCATTGACTTTTCTAATTTGAACAAAGCATGTCCGAAGGATAGCTATCCCCTACCCCGGATTGACAGCACTTCAGGTCACAAATTGTATAGCTTTTGGATGCATTCTCAGGGTGCCATCAAAAACCAATGGCCATAGAAGATCAAGAGAAGACCTTATTCATGGCCGATTCAGCCATCTATTGTTACAAGGTCATGCCATATAGGTTAAAGAACGCAGGGACAACATATCAGAGGCTAATCAACAAGGTCTTTTCTGATTTGATTGGGAAAACCATTGAGGCTTACGTAGATGACATGGTGGTCAAAAGTAAACAGGTGGATGATCATATCACCGATCTTGAGGAAGTGTTTTCCACGCTGCAGAGATACAGCATGAAGCTTAACCCGACAAAATGTGCCTTTGGGGTAGTGTCGGGAAAGTTTCTATGGAAGCCCGAAGAAGCAAAAAGGACATTCAAAAGCTTACAGGTCGAGTAGCAGCATTGAACAGATTTGTTTCTCGGGCAGCAGACAGATGTTTCTCCCTTTTCAAAGTACTCAGAGGCAACCAAAGCTTTGAATGGAATGATGAATGCGATCTAGCCTTCCAACAGTTTAAGCAAGCTTTAGCTGTACCTCCAGTTCTTACCAAACCAAAGCCTGGTGATACTCTGTTCCTTTACTTGGCTGTCTCTCAAAATGCCGTAAGTGGGGTGTTAGTAAAGGAAAAAGGAAAAGTGAAACAACCCATCTACTATGTCAGTAAAGTGCTTCTTGACACCGAAACTCGGTATATCCTTGCAGAACAGTTAGCTCTTGCCTTGATAGTAACTGCTAGAAAGTTGCGGCATTATTTCCAATCTCACCCTATAGTAGTTCTCACCAATCAACCACTCAAGCACATACTCCAGAGGTCGGATGTTTCAGGAAGGTTATTAAGGTGGGCAATCGAGCTTGGCAAGGTCGATATAGAATTCAAGCCTCGACCTTCTATCAAGACACAGGCTCTGGCCGACTTCATAGCTGAACTCACTCAAAAACCACAAGGGCCTAAAATCAAAAACTTGAGCAAGACCTTAAAAATCTGGGAGATATTTGTGGATGGGGCGTCAAATAGCTCGAGCTCGGGGCCGGAATAATCATCATCAGCTCGGACAAAACCACTGAAGTTCAATGTGCGATTAGGTATGAGTTTGAAGCAACCAACAACGAAGCAGAATATGAAGTCGTGGCCATTGCTCTCGAACTTGCCAGAAGTTTGGAATTAGAACATATCAGAGTCTTCAGCGACTCACAACTTGTTATTGGACAGATCGAAGGATCATTTGAAAGGAAAGATGAAAAGATGAGCTTGTACTGCCTAAAAGTGCATGATCTTCGGAGATAGTTCACAAGTTTTGAAATTTTGAAAATAGCAAGAGAAGACAACTCCAAAGCTGATGCACTATCCAGACTTGTTTTCATGAGGATAGATGGACTTGACAGAATAGTGCACATCAAGATTGTCACAGAACCTAGCATAAACGTGAAGTCGAGCGTCATGGACATTGACCATGAGCCTTCCTGGATTGATCTAATAGTTGAGTACAGAAGTAATGGAAACCTACCTCCTAACCCTCGTGCCGCAAGGAGTATTCAGGCCAAAGCTCTGAGGTATTGTATCATCAGAGGGGTGCTATTTCGAAGAAGTTTCACACTCCCCTATCTGAGATGCCTCAAACCTTTCGAATCTCTTCAAGCCCTGACTAAGGTTCACAAGAGAATATGCGGAAACCACCAGGGAGCCAGAGCCCTTGCCTACAAATTAATAAGGTATGGGTACTACTGGCCAACTATGAAGAAAGATGTAGCTGAATATGTGAAAAGGTGCGACAAGTGTCAGAGGTTTGGTAATGCTATACATGTCCCTGCAGAAGAGTTGACCTTTATCCATTATTCGACACCATTTGAACAATGGGGGGTAGACATCTTTAGACCTTTCCCCCTGGCCCGTGGACAGTTAAAATTTGCTGTGGTAGAAGTTGAATACTTCACAAAGTGGGTAGAAGCCAAACCCCTAGCAACAATATCAGAAGTAAAGCTCAGATTATTTGTATGAAAGTCTATCGTATGCAGATTTGGAATACCCAAAGTACTTATAACGGATAACGGAAGGCACTTCGACAATTAGTAATTCAGAAACTTTTTGTGTCAATCTCGGGATTAACCATCATCTGACGTCAGTATCGCACCCTCAAAGCAATGGCCTCGCTGAAGTAACAAATAAGATCATACTTCAGGACCTTCGCACCAGGATTGGAAACGCAAGAGGTGACTGGCCTGATGAGTTGCCCTCCATACTATGGGCATATAGAACTTCTCATAAAACAACAACAGGCGAGACTCCTTTCATGTTGGCCTTCGACTTAGAGGCCACTATCCCTGTCGAAGTCAGTCTCCCCACTTTGAGGAGAGTTGAACCCAGCATGGAGGACCAAACAACCGAACATCTTGACTTGCTTGAAGAAGTAAGGGCCTCACTGAGAGCTACTAGTTACCAAAATAAAACGGCAAAGTACTTCAACACCAAAGTCAAGTCACGAGAATTTAGGCGTGGCGATTTGGTTCTAAGAAAAGCAGAAGCAGCTGGATACCCTCCAGGTAAACTCGGCCTGGTATGGAAAGGGCCATTCAAAGTCATACGGCGGATAAAAGACGGAGCATACAGCCTCAGGGACACTTCAGGAAATCCACTCCCAAGGCCTTGGAATGCAAATAACCTAAAGATATATTACAAGTAAAATAACAATAGCGTCTTTTTCATTTTTAAGACTTTTAGGGCTTGCACGCCCACCTTATTTTCACTTTCAATAGCTCGGGTTTTTGCACCCTTGAGCAGTTTGTTTTCAGTAGCTCGAGTTTGGGCACCCTTGAGCATTTTATTTTCAGTAGCTAGGGTTTATGCACCTTTGAGCAGTTTGTTTTCAGTAGCTCGGGTTTAGGCACCCTTGAGCATTTTATTTTTAGTAGCTCGGGTTTAAGCACCCTTGAGCATTTCGTTTCAAGAAGCTCGGGCTAAGTACCCTTGAGCACCTAATTATAATAATATTCAAGTTTCTTTCTACTTGCATGCCTTATACTTTAGCGTAATGACGTGCTTCAGGCATGCAGCCAACTCTTTTACATTAGCATAATGACGTGCTACGGGCATGCAACTAATAACTTCGACGTAATGACGTGCTTCGAACATGCAGCCAACTCTTTAACATTAGCATAATGATGTGTTACCCGCATGCAAATAATATCTTCGGCGTAATGACGTGCTTCGGGCATGCAGCCAACCCTTTAACATTAGTGTAATGACGTGCTACGAGCATACAGCTAATAACTTCGGCGTAATGACGTGCTTCGGGCATGCAGCCAACCCTTTAATATTAGTGTAATGACGTTTTACGGGTATGCAGCTAATAACTTCGACG